TCAGAATAATAAAATCCTGTCAAATGGTAGAAAGCTAATACTGGTACATGTGTTGGCATTGTATTGAGAAAATCTTTATAAATTATTCATAAATCGTTTGTTACAATCCTTAATATCTCGTTAAAATTTTTCTCTGAAATGATGACACCCACAAGTTGGTCGTGTGGAAAGATTTAATAGGCTTCTATTGAAATAGGGAAACTAATTAAGTAGATGCTACCAGAAGACACTGTTGACATGAACAACACATGTCTCCCATTATTTTCAGGTGTGCTAGCAGCACTAGAAGTCTCCAGGATGATATGGCCTCTAGCAGGTATATATTTATATATTACGTAGTTGTTGTAATGGCCAACACATTTTTTTGTGAATTCAACACAGAATAGAAGAATCCTCCCTTACAGCGAGGGTATGCCATAGTTTGACAGATTTTACTCTTGGATTGAGGCATGCCTGTGGTTACACAATAAATAGTATCACCGTTTGGCTGAGATGTCTCTGTCAAAGGCTTTTTATCTGTGGTATAAAATTTTAAAAAATATTGCATAACGGACTCCTTCTACAAACCCAAGATGTGAATACTGCTTATCAAAGGATACACTAAACTATACACATTATATCTGGTGTATCCTCAGAACCGAAAATGTGAACCTTTATTTATAACAGTCCTGGTACACAGAGCTCTCATCCAACGAAAAGTTTTCTTGACATTTTTTTTCGGTTCTAAATGTATCTGCTATTTATCATAAGAGTTACCTCCCTTGAAACACGTTGAATGGGCGTTTTATTAATCCACAATTACCTGAAAACTACAGATAATTGCAAGCTAGAGTACCTTACAATATTTACCCAGTCAAAATTGTCACTCATTAGAGCTATTTTAGGTTTCTTAGAATCTTATTTTGGAAATCAATTGTATATCACAATAAGGTAGCAAATGCATNTACTGAAAAACGTTACTTGTACCATATACTCTTTAGATAAATAATGATAAATTGTGTAACAGAAACATTGTATGCTATAGTGAACATAATACTTGTATCATATACCATCAAAATAAATAATGATACATTATATTATAGATATGTAGCGGAACTGGACTGGGTCGATCATCAAAGACCAGGCAGCTTAATTGGTTAGAGCGTCCATCTAGAGTTCGGGAGGTCCCGGGTTCGAACCCTGGTCTGGCCGTTTTATTTTCTCTTTCTCCTGTTACAGATACATTGTATGCTGTACTAAACAAAGATACTTTTATCAAATACCATTAGATAAATAATGATATATTGTATTATAGATACATTGTATGCTGTACTAAACAAAGATACTTTAATCAAATACCATTAGATAAATAATGATACATTGTATTATAGATACACTGTATGCTGTACTGAACAAAGATACTTTTATCAAACACCATTAGATAAATAATGATACATTGTAGTATAGATACACTGTATGCTGTACTGAACAAAGATACTTTTAACAAATACCATTAGATAAATAATGATACATTGTATTATAGATACACTGTATGCTGTACTGAACAAGGATACTTTTATCAAATACCATTAGATAAATAATGATACATTATAATATAGATACACTGTATGCTGTACTGAACAAAGATCCTTCTATCAAACACCATTAGATAAATAATGATACATTGTATCATGTACTGAACAAGGATACTTTTATCAAATACCATTAGATAAATAGTGATACATTGTAATATAGATACACTGTATGCTGTACTGAACAAAGATACTTCTATCAAACACCATTAGATAAATAATGATACATTGTATTATAGATACACTGTATGCTGTACTGAACAAAGATACTTTTATCATGACGTCCAGCTACACAGTACATTTGAAGTGGAAAACATGTAGCTCTGGATTATTGTTATTGGCTAGCATTAACAGCTTGTCCACACCACCCACCAATACAAAAACAAAGCTTTTAAAAAATCAAATGCAAATATAATTCAGTCACATAAGATCAGAGCCTTTGATATGTATAGTCTAAAATGGTTTTTGGGTGTACTTATCAGAATCTAGTCTACCCTGAATCTTGATATTGATCAACACTCCACCATTAAATCAGAAACTATCTGCAATAGTTGTTCTCCTCTCAAGGTAACATAATTGTTTAAATGTATAATTCTGCTACAAATAAAAATACCTCAAATTCACTACCAGTGTTTCCACTTACAGTACAGAGGTGACCACAATAGAGTAGATTTATATGTAATTGAGAGAATGCATTACCCCAGTAGAGCCTACAACCTTCCGTGAGCTCAGTATCTAGTTTACTCTGTAGCTTATACATATACATCAAAGAAAATCCAGAGTTTCTTTGTACCAAACACAAATGTTCACTTTACTTCATGGTGTCATAATACAAATATGATGTATGATGTGTGAAAGTAGTTTATCCCACACTCATTGAGGCCCATTATAGGGTTGTATTTTATCTGCGTGTCAAAGTACAGTAATTATATGTGAAATTGCATTTTTAATGTAAATTATTCATTGTGAACTACAAAGACTAATCTGAATTCCCATTGCTCATCATTAATCAGATTATATCTGATCAACAAGGGACTATGGTTGTGGTTGGGTGGTAAATTGTACATCTGATTTGATGTGTAAAGATATTGGTCACCTGCCCGACCATGTGGGACAGGGTTTTTCTCTGGGTACTCCCGTTTCCTCCTACATTAAGACCCCCTGGGCACTTCCATCTAGGCCAGCAAGACTGATTAAATTAAGCTGATAAAACTTCTTTTGAAATAAATTGCTGTAAAATAAATATCGCATTTGTTTTCAAATAAGGGATCAATGGTGATAATGATAATGAACTGGATTAAAATCAATTAAACATGACATTAATGGTTGTTATACAATCTATGAAATTGGTATATTATTGTCATATTATACAATGAAAGATCGAGGTAAGCTTTAGTGTAGCTGAGTAAGTGTGGTTACTGGACAATAACAGATACTGTAATGTATCACACATAACAAGTTTCCTCCTAACAGATATTTATACAGTGAGATCCCGGAAATAAAATACATATGCCGTTTTAAGACATACCACAGCAACCAACTACATGCTTATCATTTGGAACACCTGAATGTGTATCAAATTCTGAGTGTTAATTGCAATGTCATACAGATGCACGAAGTAACATTGCTATTAATTGCAAAAAAAGCCATTGAAAAAAATAAAAATTCAATAGATACAAATAATAGAGCTATAATGTTATTGTGATACTCACTTTGTTAAAAGTGTGAATAAAAATAAAGTTTTGGTGTAGCAAACTATAATGCTGTTTTAGAGAGACAATCAGTCACTATCACAGTGATAGGTCAACAACTATAGCCACTGTTCTACAAACCTGTACTCACTTCAGAAGTAAGAATATAGCCACTGTGCTACTGACCTGTACACACTTCAGAAGTAACAACTGTAGCCACTGTGCTACAGACCTGTACACACTTCAGTAGTAACAACTGTAGCCAATGTGCTACAGACATGTACACACTTCAGAAGTAACAACTGTAGCCACTGTGTTACAGACCTGTACACACTTCAGAAGTAACAACTGTAGCCACTGTGCTACAGACCTGTACACACTTCAGTAGTAACAACTGTAGCCAATGTGCTACAGACCTGTACACACTTCAGAAGTAACAACTGTAGCCAATGTGCTACAGACCTGTACACACTTCAAAAGTAACAACTGTAGCCACTGTGCTACAGATCTGTACACATTTCAGAAGTAACAACTATAGCCACTGTGCTACAGACCAGTACACACTTCAGAAGTAACAACTATAGCCACTGTGCTACAGACCTGTACACACTTCAGAAGTAACAACTGTAGCCACTGTGCTACAGACCTGTACATACTACAGAGGTAACAGCTGTAGCCACTGTGCTACAGACCTGTACACACTACAGAGGTAATAACTATAGCCACTGTGCTACAGACCTGTACACACTACAGAGGTAACAACTATAGCCACTGTGCTACATACCTGTACACACTTCAGAGGTAACAACTGTAGCCACTGTGCTACAGGCCTGTACACACTACAGAGGTAACAACTATAGCCACTGTGCTACAGACCTGTACACACTTCAGAATTAACAACTGTAGCCACTGTGCTACAGACCTGTACACACTACAAAGGTAACTACTGTAGCCACTGTGCTACAGACCTGTACACACTTCAGAAGTAACAACTATAGCCACTGTGCTACAGACCTGTACACACTTCAGAAGTAACAACTGTAGCAACTGTGCTACAGACCTGTACACACTACAGTAGTAACAACTGTAGCCAGTGCTACAGACCTGTACACACTTCAGAAGTAACAACTATAGCCACTGTGCTACAGACCTGTACACACTTCAGAAGTAACAACTATAGCAACTGCTACAGACCTGTACACACTTCAGAAGTAACAACTATAGCCACTGTGCTACAGACCTGTACACACTTCAGAAGTAACAACTGTAGCCACTGTGCTACAGACCTGTTCACACTTCAGAAGTAACAACTGTAGCCACTGTGCTACAGACATGTACACACTTCAGAAGTAACAACTATAGCCACTGTGCTACAGACCTGTACACACTTCAGAAGTAACAACGCTACAGACCTGTACACACTTCAGAAGTAACAACTGTAGCCAATGTACTACAGACCTGTACACACTTCAGAAGTAGCAACTGTAGCCACTGTGCTACAGACCTGTACACACTTCAGAAGTAACAACTGTAGCCACTGTGCTACAGAACTGTACACACTTCAGAAGTAACAACTGCAGCCACTGTGCTACAGACATGTACACACTTCAGAAGTAACAACTGTAGCCACTGTGCTACTGACCTGTACACACTTCAGAAGAAACTACTGTTGCCACTGTGCTACAGACCTGTACACAATTCAGAGGTTACAACTGTAGCCACTGTGCTACAGACCTGTACACACTTCACAAGTAACTGAACTACTGTATCAATAGACAAGGTCAACACAGTCACAGCATTGAACAAATTTCTTCATGATTAACTCCATGTTTGAAATAGCTATCAAAGCAGACCAAATAATAAAAAAAACAGATAAATTGTTGGATGCACCATTTTTTCTATGAGCAATGTGGTAAGGCTAGGACTCAATATTTGGGTGGTTTTAGAGCAGTTAGAATGTAAGGGTAAAAATCGACCAAGGTGAAAGGTCACATATATGTGTTCACACAGACACTACCAACCAAGACTCTCAGCATCCAAAATCAATGCATAAAACTTTCTGTAAGAAATTAAGTTCCTTGATATAACTCAGCCTTTTACATACAAAAGGTACAGGTTTTGACCAAACGTAGATTTGGAATGTACCAAACCCATACATGTATAAGTTGTGTTAATTCACTGACAATGTGTATTGTGGGTCTTGACATCAGTCCCACACCAGACACCCAGACTAGCAGTAGTAGTTACATCACATTTTGTCCATAAAGTGTGGTCTCCCTTCATTATCTCTGCGTCTTGTGAGAATCTCACATCCCGTATCTGTGACCAATAATGTCTGCTCAAATTGGGCTGATCGCTTCCCATCCTGGGTGACCGCTGTCCAGTTATCAGGCCACATTTCATCTCTCCAGGTTCCTGTAATATACCACAGTATAACTATTAGCTTATAACTCTGTCTCAATAAATAAACCTGTAATATACAACAATATAACTCCATAAATAGGCATCCCATCAACCAGCACTCAGTCAACTTACCAACACTCAGTCACACTTATCTACACTCAGTCACACTTACCAACACTCAGTCACAATAATGCTCAGTCACACTTACCAACACTCAGTCACACTTACCAACACTCAGTCACTCTTACCAACACTCTGTCACATCAGTTATCAGTGGGATCAAAAGCTATTGTAAATGTGTACCCACCCTCTGAGATCATCGGCTCTATTATAAACATGTACCAACTCTCTGAGATCAGAAGTTCTATTGTAAATGTGTATCTAGCCTCTGAGATCATTAGTTCTATTATAAACATGTAACAACTCTCTGAGATCAGAAGTTCTATTGTAAATGTGTATCTACCCTACGAGATCATTAGTTCTATTATAAACATGTAACAACTCTCTGAGATCAGAAGTTCTATTGTAAATGTGTATCTACCCTCTGAGATCATTAGTTCTATTATAAACATGTACCAACTCTCTGAGATCAGAAGTTCTATTGTAAATGTGTATCTACCCTCTGAGATCATCGGCTCTATTTTAAATGTGTACCTACCCTCTGAGATCATTGGCTCTATTATAAAGGTGTACCTACCCTCTGAGCTCATCGGCTCTATTGTAAATGTGTACCTACCCTCTGAGATCATCGACTCTATTTTAAATGTGTATCTACCCTCTGAGATCATCGGCTCTATTGTAAATGTGTACCTACCCTCTGAGATCATCGGCTCTATTTTAAATGTGTATCTACCCTCTGAGATCATCGGCTCTATTTTAAATGTGTACCTACCCTCTGAGATCATTGGCTCTATTATAAATGTGTACCTACCCTCTGAGATCATCGGCTCTATTGTAAATGTATGTCCAGGTTTCATCACACCTATGGCTTTGTTTTCTGAAAAATAAACATTTCAAAACTTTGAAAAAGTTACAAATGAAAGTGATGTACCAAATTTTGATTGAATTAATCAAATGGTTTTGTATTTAAATAAAAAACTGTTAAAAGATATTTTTTGTTGGAAGTAGTAGAATTAACTACCTGTTTTAATATTCATTTTCAGTACATGAAATGTTTTACCAGTGATGATGACTTGCAGTTTGATTTGAAGTACTAGTGCCTTGTAATTTTAATGACTTGTAGAATTTAAAACTTATCTATAACAAGAGGCCCATGGGCCTTAACGGTCACCTGATATATTTATACAGAGAGTTGATTTTTGTTTTTAACATGAACAGAAATATTATTCAAAGTGACAAAAAAACAATAAAACCATCTTATTCAATATCTAGCATGCAGATTTAAGACTGAAAATTATTTGAAACTAGCACCTCTGATTCTAAACAAGGAAAATGAAGAAATTTTATTTTAGCACACAGACTGCATTGGGCCCCACCCTACAGCCCTTGGGGGTAGGGATGGCTCAAAATTTACAAAGTATCAAACTGTCAACTTTGGGTTGTAATTCCAATCAAGTTTTCAACATGTAATATTCAAAGTATCATTTGCCATAATAAACCATAACAAATTTTGCCCCACCCCCCTCCTTCCCCAGGGGGAAACGCGAGACCCCAGGGTCATAAAATTCACAATTTTTGGTAAAGCACCTTAAGACCCTTCCATCTATGAAGAGTATTTGATTCTACCATATCTTGGTCTTGAGAAGAAGATTTTTGAAATTTCAGTCAATTCAACCCTTTTTGGCCCCACCCATCAGCCCCGGGGGGTCAGTCAGGGCTGATATGTGCATACCATCAAACTGCTATCCAATACTGATAATTCTAACCCAAATTGAATTACTTCCAATGGCAATTAAACAAATGTTAGTCTAAAATGTGATTTCCCTATGTAAACTATAGTAAAGTTTACACCCTCCCCAGGGGGAAACGTGAGACCCCAGGGTCATGAAATTCACAAATTTGGTAAAGCACCTTCAGACCCTTCCATCTATGAAGAGTATTTGATTCTACCATATCTGGATCTTGAGAAGAAGATTTTTGAAATTTTAGTCAATTTTACCCTTTTTGGCCCCGCCCCTCAGGCCCCTGGGGGCTGGGGACCATATAATTCACAATTTTAGTTGACCTTTGGCCATGTGAGGTTTCTGCGAAATTTCATTGTAATTGGTTTAGGGGTTTTGGAGAAGAAGTCGAAAGTGTAAATTGTTTACGGACGCACGACGGACGCCGGACGCCGGACGCCGGACGCCCCCGGACAAAAGGCGATCGCAATAGGTCACTTGAGACTTTGTCTCAGGTGACCTAAAAACAAATTGAGCAGTGATTAAAATATATATCCCCTCCCCTGGCCCGCAAAGTTTGACCTTTGACCATCACTGATGACCGACAAAATCCAATCAAGGGTAAAATTTGATGGTGCAATATGTAAATACACACTAAATTTGTTGAGGGGTCCGTGATAATCTTCTATTTCAGACGGGCACATGGATATAGATGCTCTGACAAAGTGATCACTATTTATATACTATGATACTGAAGTGGGAGGTATAACGACTTAGGATACACTGAAAGGTATACTCACTGGCATAATGTGGCACGCTAGGAGCTGTGTGGAAAAGTCTGAAAGATTTGGTGAATTAAGTTAAAGTTAAATGTTACACATTATAAGTAGAACCAGGTGCAGTCTATTTGGTAAACATGCCCTCAACAACATTAAACTTGTCAAGGCATTGTTTGAGCAAATGAATTCAGAAAATAACAGACAGAGGAGATATTTAAAAAAAAACATATTCAAATCTACAAATATAAATATATGAGAACTTTTAGTTGTAAAAATAATTTATGTTGGGTTAATTTAGAAAAATATCTTACACATACATAGACCCAACACAAATTCATCTGATCTGGTATATATGGTATCAAATCAGATATTTTGAGTATTGTAATTTTATTGTAAATCTTTTGTTTACAGGAGGTAAATAGGTCTAAACACATCAAAACCTGTCCAAACTGAATTCCAAAAAGAACAACATTTCTTTTTGAAATAGACAAGTTTTTGCATCACAAATGTTCCATTTACCCAGGTACATATAAATGTATACATAGGGACCAGACTTAGTTGAGCCTCTGTTTTATATAGGCGTCCAGATATTCAACACTCTAGCTATGTCTGTTATAGTGTTATTTACACTGGTAGTTATACTCTACATTGTGCGAGGAGTGTGTGTCATATACTGACTGGTGAATGCCGTGTCCACAGTAGCTCCGCACTACTGAGTAGCCGTGGGCCTGGGCATGTTTCTGTATTATATTTCCCATCTCTCTGTAACGTACACCAGGCTTCACTGAAGACAAAACCAATAAAGTTTAAAAAACAAGATAACCTGTTGTCCAGGTCAGTTATTAGATCTAATTACACTGACCTTTGACCTTAAAATCTAAATGTCTTTATATAAAGTTATTTAACAGTTTCAATACTATCTGCAGACATATACAAAGGTAATGGACACTAACTGACCTTAAGACAGATGCAAAGGTAATGGACACTAACTGACCTTCAGACATATACAAAGGTAATGGACACTAACTAACCTTCAGACATATACAAAGCTAATGGACACTAACTGACCTTCAGACATCTACAAAGGTAATGAACACTAACTAACCTTCAGACATATACAAAGCTAATGGACACTAACTAACATTCAGACATCTACAAAGGTAATGGACACTAACTGACCTTCAGACATCTACAAAGGTAATGGACACTAACT